TAACTATAGATAGCTTTAATTTCTTCATCCAGGAACTGCCTGTTCATATCCTTTGACTATTTATCAGTTGGGGAAAGACTTGTATTCTTATAAATTTGATTTAATTCTCTACATATTTTAGCAATGAGGCCCTTATCGGAGACACTGGTTGTAAAAATTCTTTCCCAATTTTCTACCTTCCTTCTAATCTTAGTTGCATCGGCTTTGTTTGTGCAAAAACTTTTCAATTTAATGTAATCAAAGTTATCCATTTTGCTTTTCATAATGTTCTCTTTCTCCTGTTTGGTCATGAATTCTTCTGTTCTTCATAAATTTGATAGGTAAACTGTTCCTTGCTCTCCCACTTTGCTTATAGTATCAGCCTTTATATCTAAGTTATGAACCTATTCTGACTTTATTTTGGTATGTAGTATGAGATTTTGATCAATGCCTAGTTTCTGCCATACTCTTTTCCAGTTTTCCCAGCAGTTTTTGTCAAAGAGTGGGTTCTTATCCCAGAAGCTGGGGTCTTTGGGTTTATCAAATAATAGCTTACTTACAGTCATTGACTACTGTGTCTTGCATACTTAACCTATTCCAAGGCTCCACCACTCTATTTCTTAGCCAGTACTAAGCAATTTTGATGATTGCTGCTTTATAATACAATTTAAGATCTGGAATGGCTAGTCTACCTTCATGTTTAGAAGGGGATTTGTGTGTGATTTAAAATATGGTAAAGAAATGAAGGGTATCTTCAGAGTAAAGAATCTTCTTTGAGAAATTCTCTCTGGAGTGGCTAGTCTACCTTCATGTTTAGAAGGGGATTTGTGTGTGATTTAAAATATGGTAAAGAAATGAAGGGTATCTTCAGAGTAAAGAATCTTCTTTGAGAAATTCTCTCTTTTAATACCTTCCTCATTTTCCCACCAGCTTCTATTCTGTTTTAACTTAGGCCTAATGACTCATTTTTTTCCCTTTGGGTTATCTTATAAGCCAAATGAAAAATATACATATACATTAGGATACAGCTTCAATAATTTTCTAGTAGCAGCACTGAAAAATCTGTCCTTAGGAATATGTAGGCCTTCCATTTTAGATGGTACTCAGGTTTAAAAGAGACCTGTACAGCTTACTTTTGCATGAATGCCATAGCAGGTGGAGTGAGGATTTTGGTCTGTTTCCCAAATAGGTTGCAGTAGTATAATATTGTTTATTTTTTTAATATCTTGTGGGATTTGTTTGATTCCAGTGGACTCATGCTTCTGATAAGTCTCATGTTCATATTCTCTCTCTCTCTCTCTCTCTCTCTCTCTCTCTCTCTCTCTCTCTCTCTCTCTCTCTCTCTCTCTCTCTCTCTCCATCGCTTTTTTGATGGTCAGTCTCCGGCTCAGTAAGAATTAAATCACTGAGAAGCCACTTAGTAAGACTGCCTCTTTTTGCAGATTAATAATCTGAAGCTTAAAGAGATTAAATGTTTTGCCCACTATCACACAGATATGTTTATAGTTGTATTTTCCTTTATTTTTTCTGTTCTAGGCAAGAAATATTTGACTATATTTGTCAGTTTTGTTATTGTTGATTTTGCCTTCTTTCTTTCTTCTGAAGACACTGACAACCACCTGGTGCAGGCCTTCTTTATCTCAGGACTGAACTATTGCAATGACCTTATAGTTAGTCTCCCTGCCACAAATCTCTCCTTACTGCAATCCATTCTTCATTCATCTATCAAATCAGTCTCCCTAAGGCACAGGTCTGATCTCCAGGATCAAATATAAAACCCTCAGTTTGGCGTTTGAAGCTCCTCATCACTTGGTGCCTTCCTATCTTTCCAGTTTTCTTGCATGTTACTCCCCTCCAAGTACTCTGCCATACAATGGCGCTGACCCCCTTACTATTCTTCTTACAGGATGCTGCATTTTCTCATTTTGTGTATTTTCCCTGATTGTCCTCTAAGGCTGAAGTGCTCTCCCTCTTCAGGTCTGCCTCCTGTTGTCACTGGCTTATTTCAAATCTCAGCTCAAATCCCACCTTCTGAAAGCAACCTTCCCTAGTCCTCCTTAATGTCAGTGCTGTCCCTCTGAGGTTACCTCCAATTTGTCTAGTATGTATCTTGTTTGTACATAGTTGTTGGTGTGTTGTCTTTTCCTCATCGAATGAAGTACTGTTTGTAAAGCACTCAGTACAGTGCTTGGCACAGAGTAGGTAATATCTACATTCAGATTCTCTTCCTTTCCCTTTCGATCGTGAGTTCCTTGAGGGCAGGAACTGTTTTTGTCTTTCTTTGTATCCTCAGTGCTTTGCAGCACCTGACACATAGTAGTCTCTTAATAAATACCTATTGACTTTCTACTCTAGTGAAGCAAGCCAAGTTGTATATTTTTAAAATCCCTATTTGGGAGATAACACCAAAAACAAATGACAGTTCTATAGTTTGCAAAGTATCCTTATATAGAGTGTAATATGTTGCTTGGTACTCTGGTACTTTTGGTATGATTTTATTGGCATGGTTATTCTCTTCACTGATGTAGTTGGTAAACCCATCCACATTCTGTCATCCTGTATGGTCTAAATTTTCCTGTGAATTCTCTCTAGTGGAGAACTCAAGGGAGGTCTTCCTGTTATTCTTATTTGTTAGGGATACCATTATTCTATTCTTTCCCTTCATGTGTTGTTCTTGATTTGACTACTGCAGTATTGCTTTGCATTATTATTTCATTTTCCATGCACATGAATTTTATTTTTTCAACTAGGCCTTACCTTCCATGAGGCTAGGGACCATATCTTCTTTTTATTCTCATTGTACCTAATACAAAGTTTCTACAGGGTAGGTACTTGTCGATATTTATCAAATGAATGAATGAATTCAGTCTTATGCTTATTTGATGGAGATTTAGGATTCTAAAGACAAATGTTCCCTTATTGACAACATTTTCCTGTTGTACAGATAGAGGATAAAAGCTAATTTCTTCATGTGACTCAGCTAAATCATTGGACTGGACTATAAATTTCCTTTCTAATATTGTCTCCCTGATGATAACATTTGATAAATGTAATTTAAACCTGCCAGAGCTCTCAGGGATTGATTTGCAGAGATCAAAAAAAAAATCATGGCAGTAACAACAAAAAAACCCTTAGTCTACAAACATTTTTGTAATTTCTTCAGTTTTTATCTGTCATTGAATATATACAGCAAGAAGTGTGCTAGCAGTGCAATGGATAATGTTAATTGTATTTTCTTTTTATTTTTCTTTGCAAGTTTTATTTGCTTGAAGCCTGATTTATTTTCTGTCTGTCTTAATTCTTTGCTGGGAACTTGATCCATAAACAGTTTAAGTTTATTGAGACTAATTTATTGTTTCTATTCACTTATATTTACTTTTGTGTTATATGTAGATACTTTTCTGTGTTTTTTTAAAAAAAAGTGTTAGTTTCTTTTCTATAACATGACCATGTAGGGTATTTTTAGCCTCAGTTCTTTTTAAAATTATATAAAGCAGGACTTTTTAAACTTTTTACACTTATGACCCCTTCAGCATTTCTGAAACTATGGGTCACGACCAAACTGGCATCATTACTATCCAGAGCAGCCCAAGAGATTCAGTGAAGAAAAATATCATAATGAAAAATTAAATGATGATGGGCACGCACACATATCAACTTTGATGTCTTTGTTATGTAACGTGGGTTCACACCAGCTACCCAATTGTTTTAAATTGACTGTAACTTAGAAGTTGTTGGCTCCTTATTGGGCTGTTGAAAGCACCCAACAGTGTATGGCCCCTAATCAATTTCCATTCCTTCCAAGTGTAGTACATGCAAAATAATCAGTACCTGTTTGTATTATTTTTTTAAACTATAAATAATTTTGTAGTAGTATTAGTAAGTCATAGCTATTCGTAGTTAGAACTCTGGTGGTAAGAGAAACTTCTACAAATCCAGTTCAAATACCAAACCCAGAACAAGAGGGAATGAAAATATGACAGTAGTGTTGTCCCATTTGGCTAGGGATTTCCCCAGACACTCAAGGGGTTCATTACCAGATTTGTGTAAATGGGGCCCCATCACTTTGCCAAAATAACTTGGGCAAGTAGAAGCAAAATTGTAGATTTCAAAACAAAACTCTTGAATTTCAGATTGGAAGATGTGGTCAACTGAAACAGTCTTCCCCTAGGGCTGAATTTTTCTTTTCTGAGCAAAAAATTTTGAGCTAAATAATTTATTAACAATGTAATCAGCAATAATCCAGACATAAATAATTATTTGTTATAATAGAAGATTACAGTCAAAGTCACTTCAACCATCACTGCAAATAACTTTTGAAAATACAGTCCCATCATTCATTTTACTTAGAATACCAGGTAAGGTGTCTTCTCAGGAATTCTCTTTGTACTCAGTGCAGTATGATGGTTAAAACAATTCCATCAGGAAAGAAGTTCTCTATATCTTATTTTTCTCTCTTTTCCAGGTTCTCTCATGTCATTACTCTTAACAGTTTCTCCAGATTCTCTCCTTATAAAATTCTCTTTATAATCTTTCTTCATAATATAAAATTTAAGTAGTTCTAAGAAAGTTTTTCCTCATTTTTCTTTTCTACAGTTTCCTTCAAACTTTCTAATTCTCTTTTCTTTTATCTCTCAAAAACTTCCAGCCCAATTGCCAACTCCTCAGCCTTCCATCTGGCATTTAAATCTATGGTAACAGTGATTGTAAGAGAAACTACTGAAACTGGTGTTACAATAAGGCATGTATCATTTTAAAGTATAAGTTTTGTCAGCATTTGGTTATTTGGCTGTACCTCTCTCCCTCCTCAGATCATTTTCTGTATCTCGTCTCAGTTGATGCATAAACTCCTTGAGGGGAAGGACAATCTCATTTTAGTCCTTGTGACCCCAGCATCTAGCATATCTTGCCCATTAATAATCAGTTAGTAAATATTGGTTGAATTAAACCTAAGTATGATGTTCATATAATTGTTTTTAAGACTGATACACATTTTCTTTTTTCTTTTTCTTCTCTTTCAGATAACCATGAATCTATTGCTATTTTTTATTTTGGGATTGCTTGTTCACTTTGTGTTCTTTGTGTCCATCTTTGACATTTACTTTACTTCTCCCCTGGTACATGGTATGACTCCTCAAATTACTCCTCTGCTGCCTCCAGCTAGAAGATTAGTGTTATTTGTTGCTGATGGCCTTCGGGCAGATTCCCTCTATGAATTAGATGAAAATGGAACTTCGAGAGCACCATTTATCAGGTAAGAGATTTGACTAAAATGAAACCTTTTCATGAAGTTTGCCTACAGCACAAATAAACAGTTAAAGATCACATAGCTATTCTTATGTGGGTATAAGAGGTAATAAGGATAGGGATTGGATACAAGATATTGGCATTTCATTATAGATTGATCTGATTTTCAGAAGATATTCTTTTCTTCTGATTACTTTGCCTATGATTTAAGCATGTTGTTCTTCCAGGTGAATTTTGGCTACATGACTCAAACTGAAACATTTTCCTGGATTTTCAGGTATAGGAAGGTTTAAAGGATCTGCCAACCTCACTTTTAGGTTACTCCTCAGCCTGCTAATTCACTTGTTCCCATATTTCATCTTATAACACCAAGCTCTGGAGTAACGAAGAGTTTATGTTTGAATACTTTCTTTTTTAATTAATGCAGTTTTAATCTGTTATTAATCAGTTGTCTAAAACTTCTTTGCCAGCTCATTAAATATTATTTAAAATAAACTGGAGATACCATTTCTCATCTCTCTCTGTGTTAAATTCCTTAATCACCTGTGATTAAATAAGTATTAAATTATTAAATATACAGTTTACTAACAACCGAACTTAATAATAAGGATATAAATAATCGTAATATTTTGTCCATTAGAAAAATCATATCCCGATGTACCTCAAACTCTTACTATAATAGCAGATGATTTCTCTTCACTTCTGGAAACACAATTTCACTTTTAAATTCACTTAAGAAATGGATTAAAGTATCTCTAGAATTCTCTTCATATTTTTCCTTAAGAATTAAATTCAGTCTTTTAGGAAATGTCATATTAGTTTTTTTTCCTTGTCTTCTTTTTAGCCTTCAGAAGAAGCAATCTCTTCAGCTTCTGTCAAGCTATTCTGCTTAATAATCTCTTTCAAGACTTCTCATAAAATTTTCTTTATAATGTTTCTTCATAAACTAACAGTTGACTGTTCTTACAAGAAAGAAAATTTTTCTTACTTTCTTTTTCACTTTTTCCATGTTTAGCCCATAGAACTTCATAAATCGAAAACCTGTACTCTGGCCAACTCCATAGGGAGACCTACCTCATAAATGACAATTATAACTACGTTCCCTTCTCCCTACCCAACCTCTAGCACAAACTGCCTTTTCCTGGAGCATTCCATTTGGCTCTTAAAGCTATGATAAAGGTGTCTATACCTTCTGTGAAAGTTATTGAAACATGTGTTACGTCCATATATAAGCTGATATAATAAATATTCTACTAATTACCAAATTTTGTTTTTTTTTAAAAGAATAATAACACTTATAGAATATCTACTTTGTGCCTGTGCTAAGTGATTTGTAAATATTATCTCATTTTCATTCTTGCAAGAACTCTGGGAAGTAGGTGCTATTATTATCCCTATTTTACAGTAGAGAAAACTGAAGCAAACAGAAGTTAAGGGACTCACCCAAGGTCACAAAGCTAGTAAGCATGTGATAAAAAAAAGATAAAATTTAAAGTAAGACTTAAAGAAATATAAACACTCTTAACCCCCCCCCCCAAAATTCACAATTCCATGGGACATGTGTTGCAACTGCATTTATTATAAGAGAAATGAATATGCATGTGGAACTCTATGCCCAGTACTAAGGAGTTCAGGTTCCAGACAGAAGCCTTGCATATTTATGAGTCTCAGTAAGGGTGGGGAGGTGGGGAGGGCAATTCCCTCCTAACTGGGAGTGGCATGGGAGGAGGACTGGAGCAGTACTAGTGGGGAAAGGATTAATCCCCTCCTAAAGAAGAGGAGAATGGTTAAAAAAAAAAAGGGAGGGGGAACATGAGTAAGTAAATTGGCAAAAGCAGCATTCATTTTCCTTGGAAACTGGTCTGCTTATCTACCAGGATCCCATCTACACAAATAGTTTCTCCGTCTGGTGCAGACTGACTAGCCCCTGTCTTGTGGCAGGTTTGACACTCAAGGGCACAGAGGGAGTTTACCTAGGGGTGAAAATAACAAATTATGTCAGCTCTGGAGGGCTTCATCCTTGACTAGTTCAGGGCTTCCTGCATATTCTGGGTCCAGTATGGCAACTCAAGAAGATAGGTTAAGTTGGCTTCAGGGCAACAACATTTGTGTGCCTTCCTCATTAAGTTATCATCCTTGGTTAATCTATCTCTGGTTTTATTTTGCTTTAAGAGAAACTTTTGTAGTGGTTGTGGTTGTTCTTTTTGTAATTAGTAGGTAGCTTCTTTGCAAATCTTTTTTATTGACCAATCCAACTTCTCTCTTGGCTTTTAAAACTCAAGCATATTTAAAAGTTTTCATAACTTCCTTAAAATTATTAACTACTCCAATAGGCTCTAACTGCCTACTGAGCCAGCTTATTTAGAATGTTGTATTTTTTTTCCTTTTCTTTTAAATTAAAAAAAAATTCTCAGAATAGTTTTTAAACAGATACTCCAGTTTCTCTACAGCAGTCGTGGTTTATAAAAATATAACTTAAATACTTTGTTATTTTTGTTATATGTTTTTCCATGTCTCATGGAACTGTGATTTTTTTTTTTGGTAACAGTGTTTATACTTCTTTAAGTCTTACTCTAAGTTTTATCTTTTTTATCATATGCTTATTAGCTTTGTGACTTTGGGTAAGTCTCTTAACCTTCCTTTGAAAAATCACAAGAAGATTGCCATCACCCTTATTGCAAGAAGAATTATTCTCATTCCATGTATCTTAGAGTTATTTAAGTTTTTAAAACACTGTAGTAATCCCTGGGGGGCTGCTACTATGTTGGCTAAAAGATGGGAAGGATTAAGTTTTATTTGAAAGAACACAGGATTTATAGGCAGGAGACCCACATTTTGGTTATGCGCATTGTCTCAAATTCCATTAAACAGTTATAAATGACCTTAAGGTACAATCAGAAAGTGAACACTTAGAAGGTAAGCTTGAGAAGCCCGAAATTATTTAGAATAGATTATTTAAATGATTATGCATTGATTTTTTAACAATTGCTTGCTAGTAGGTTGCTCTTTGTCCTTTGTTCTTGAAGAGAACCATGACATCAGGGAGGTGATGCCATGACATGCAAGTGAATTGTATTTAAGTGAGGGAGGGCTGTGCAAAGTCATCAGCCTCACTTTCTCCTCTGGAGCCATCTGGGTCCAATGGCCAGATATAGATCAGGAGAACTGGAAATGTCCCAGGATGCCAAAAATTTAACATTTTCTAAATACCCAAAAGATTAAATCAACTTGTTTTATTTTTTCTATATGTAATACTTCTAATTATACATTTACTATTATTTTAGGAATATAATACTGCATAAAGGTAGCTGGGGTATTTCTCATACTCGTGTACCCACTGAATCCAGGCCAGGACACGTGGCACTGATAGCTGGTTTTTATGAAGATGTCAGTGCAGTTGCCAAAGGTATATCTCTTCAGACAATTTTTAAAAATTTACCTCTTTTGCATTGAACTCAGAGAATATTTGTTGAATATTGTGCTAAGCCCCAAAATTAAACATTAGTTTTGGAATTCATGCTCAAATATTTCAAAAGATTTGTGATTTCATCATTGTGGGAATTTCTTCCACACATGCATGTTGCAACTCTTGTATAATTTAGGAGATAGGTTCATATATTGCTATAACCAAAAAGGAATGACCACCTAAAGATCAATCTTCTGGTGAAAAGTGCTCCTAACTTAACTAAGTTGGTTCTCAGAAGATGTTTTCTATTCCTTCATATCATGATTGTGTATTGTAGTGATCACAGTAATTTCATATAACAAGAAATAAATGAAATTCATTTCTAAAGAATTTCTTGTTATAAAATCTCATTAATTTGTTTTTAACTTGATCCATTCCCAGAAACATATAAATCATTAATTTCGGCCTTTTTCCTTCTAGAAGAACAACGTCACTATGATTAGCACATTTCTAAAACATCTCTGCTAAAAAGTTTTAGTTCTCATTATATGCAAATTTTCAATGCTGCATTGTCTTAGTTCTTTCCTTCTAGTCTTCAGAAGTGATTCTATGTATTAATGAAAGCTAAAAGAGCTTTTATATTTCCTCTTACTTCCTACCCCTAACAGTCCTTACTATAATTTATAATAGAGTTTACTTGAGTTATGTGTCCGTATTGTTCATTGTTGTCTTTTTTTTTATTTATAATTGCTTGTAGGGTGGAAGGAGAATCCTGTGGAATTTGATTCTCTTTTCAACGAAAGCAAATATACTTGGAGCTGGGGAAGCCCAGATATTTTACCTATGTTTGCTAAAGGTAAGAGTGTTTACTGTAATTTATTGTTTATTTCAGAGGTAAATAAACAATATAATAATTGTTTTGATTCATGTATTTAAATTTGGAAGCTCCTTGAATACTGGCACTCATTAGTCATTGTCTTTGTTTCCTGGGTGTATAATACAGTGCTTTGCATATAATAGGTGATTAATAAGTATTTCTTGAATTGATTTTTCTATATCATAGACAAACCTATTGTTAGCCTCTCTATTAATTCTTTTAAAAAATTTTTTAAAAATTCATTTTGAACTTAAATACAAAATGAGAAAAAAGAACATTTCCATGTACACAGCAGAACATAAAGAGAGAATTCAGTGTAAAACCATAAATTTCCATTTCAGACTGTTTATTTTTTTTTAAACTATGTACTTAATATTATTGCTTTCATAGCCACCCAGCTTTTCTGTGCTTCCTTCTAAGTTTTCTTTTGTTCTCAGCTATGTGCTTTTTTTCTCCCTCCTTGTCTCCCCACCTTGCCCTAGAGAAACCTACAATTAAACATGAATACATACACACATGTATTTACTTATATACATACAAATATACACTCACATATATACATATACATATACATATACCATACTGTACATACTTCTGATTATGAGTTCTTTCTCTGGAGATGGATAGCATCTTCCTTCATAGGTCTAAGTTGTTCCCTGGTTTTCTAAAATCAATCAGTTCCTCATTTCTTATAGCACAGTAGTATTCCATCACAATCAAATGCTACAATTTGTTTAGCCATTCCCCAATTGAAGGGCATCTATCATTTTAAGCAATCTGAAAGGTATAAGATAATATCTTGAAGTTGTATTAATTTACATTTCTCTCATCAGTAATGATTTAGAGCATTTTTTCATATGACTGTATATAGTTTTGATTTCTTCATTGAAAAACTGCCTTTTCAGATCCTTTGACCATTTATCAGTTGGGTAATGATTCATATTCTTATAAATTTGACAAAGTCCTTTACATATTTGAGAAATGAGACCTTTATCTAAGAGAGTATTTATGAAATCTGCCTCCCCCCCCACCTTTTGCTTTCCTTCTAATCTTGGCATCATTGGTTTTATTTGTATAAGAACTTTCTAATTTACTATAATCAAAATTATCCATTTCACACCTCACAATGCTCTCTATATGTTATTTATTATTCATAAATTATTCTCCTATCCATGAGTTGAATAAGTAATATGTTCCATGTTCTTCTAATTTACTTATGATATCTCCCTTTATATCTAGGTCATGTATCCATTTTTGACCTTATCATGGTACATGATTTAAAATATTGGTCAATGCCCAGTTTTTGCCAAACTGCTTTCCAGCTTTCTCAACAATTTTTATCAAATAATGAATTCTTATCTCCAAAACTTAAATCTTTACATTTATCAGACACAAGGTTGCTATAATCTTTTACTACTCTGTGTTGTGTATCTACTCTGTTTCACTGATCTACCCCTCTATTTCTTAGCCATTATTAGATAGTTTTGATATTTTCTGCCATATAATATAACTTGAGGTCTAGTACTGCTGAACTTCCTACCTTTACATCTTCCACATTAATTCTAAAGATCCAATCTTGGATACTTATAATTCTGTTGTATTCTCTTTATTCTTCTGAAGAGGGAAAAGTTGTTCAACATTTGTTTTCGAAGAGGATCAATGAAATCACAAGGTGATGCCTTGATTTGTGCATGAATTGGATTTAAGTGAGGTAGAGTTACACAAAGTAAAGATAGAAAGTCAGATAATTATGACCTAACTATTACTGAGTTTGGAGAAAACGAAAAATTATGTCTTTGAGATTTATCAGGCTGAGAATAAGACAGATTCCAGGCTAGTAGAATCTTGCTTTCTCTTCTTTCCCCAGTGCTGAGATGGAGGATAGTTGCTATCCCTTCAGCTATGGCACTTGTGATTTGCTAGAGCCCAGAGCTTGTTTAGCAACTGTCTAGCAGGTTTACCCACTCTCTACAAATCAGAGTGTGAAATATTCCCAACTTATAAGTTGAGGAAAAGGCCAATATGCAGAACAATTTTACTGCTAGGTTTTGTGGGACATAAGGCAGAATTTTTTACGTATATGTTAACAACCTGTCTTAGGGTCTTTCTCTAGTACCTCATTTTCTTGTGTTAAGTGACTCTGGTCTCTTGGAGGCTATCTCAGGAGAGCTTATGTTCTGGCAAAACCTTCAAGTACGGACTTGGGAATGTCTTTTGTCCAAAGATCAGGCTAGTAAAGTTCAAAAGGTTCTCCTATAGGCATAAAGATTTATGTGGGTAAAAATGACATGTAATTAATCAGCAAGTGTAAGTACATAGAACAGATAGATCACCTTTTGTCTAATTTAGGAGACTTACTCATTAATTGAAAATTGATTAAGCTCCTCATGGAAAGTAGATACCTTCATGTGGCCATCTGAAGCCAATCTATTCCCAGCCTATGTCCCTGGCTCTTTAACTATCTGGGAAATGTGTATTCTCCAGAGGTGTGCTGGTAAATGTTGATGAACATGATACACTTTTAAGTTTGATCTGCATTATTAACATTTTCTCCATCACTTTCTTAAGTCTCAAGTCTAGACAATCAACAAAACAATCAAGCCTATTTGTGGTGGTTAACATATTTCTAAAATATCTCTGCTAAAAATTTTAGTATTCATTTTACAGATGTTTGGGGTGTAAATTCTTCACAAGCTGGTATGAGCTAGCTCCAGCACACTCCTAGATTGCCCTTCTACTTCTTCCTTACTCATTCCTTATCTAAGTTCCTTCCCTTTTCCTTAACTCCTTTCAATAGGAGAAAGTAGCAGTCACCTGGTCCCCAACTTCTACAGAAATCTTATTAAAGTATTCTTTTCTACCTATCTTCAACATTCTGTCTGGACCGCTGGGTTCCAATTTTAATTCATTGTTTAGGTAAGGACCCAGAGTCTTTTTCTTTCTACTTGTGGGGTATCTCTCACACATTATCAACTAAATTCCTAATAATTACTTTAATTCTGTCCTATAACATATGTAAATATAGTTACAAAGGAAAAAAAAAACCCCTGCTGTGTAGAAGACAAATCAGACCTGATCTGGTTGATCTCAGAGGGCAGAATTGGGACTACTAGAAGGAAGTTATAAAGAGACAGATTTTGGCTAAATATGAGGAAAAATTTCACAACTTCCAAAAATAGAATGGCCCTCCTCATGTGAAAGAAAAATCGTCTTTGTTCCGAATTTAGCTAAAATCTGCAGAGACAGATTATATTATAAACAGTTTCCTTGGAGAGGAGATTCTGGCCAACAGATTTTGCCTTGCTAATCAGAGAACTCTGCCTAAAGAAATTTCTAATTCATATTTATAATTATGAAATCGAGATAAAAAAATCCATATCAACAAAAAATACAGAATTACACAGTGTAGTTTTAAGTACTGGATTTGAAATATGTAACTTGAAAAGAACAATAGTAAACATGTCCTTGGGAATCTGTGCTCAAGAATTCTAAACTCTGTAGGTATTTAGGTCACTCTCAAATTGTAATCTGGACATTCATTCAAAGGAGACCTATACCAAGAGAGACCAGGTTAAGGATACTCTTATAATTCTTAATTTTTTCAACAGAAAACAGGCCTTGGTGCTATAGGCTTCCACATTCATAAAGTAGTTAGTTCCCCATCTAGAGGATGGTTCTTTGGGTAAAGTCTTGATGGCCAATTGTCCAAAATGTTATATAGAGAATATTTCTGTTAAAGCATGTATTATACTTTTTCTTTCTTTTCCTGTTTTTCTGTTTTCATGGGTAAAGTATAATAATCTTTAGCGTGTTGCAACTACTGTCCACGGTTACAACATATGGCCACCTTGAAGATCACCAGGCCAACTAAGATGAAGTTTTAAAATCTATCTCTTTATATGGGGCATTCCTTTGTGTGAATCCTTCTCTGAAAACTGTCCCTTATAGGTTCTTGTATAGACCTTGTGCAGAGTATTGCTGTACTGCAGTCCTGTTTCCTGTGGAACCTAGTATTATTTCTCAATAGTAGCTAAAGTTCTTTTTCTTTTTTTTCAAAGGTTTCATTTCCTCCTGTCATCAGGTCAATCTATCCATCTCACACATAACCCATATTCAATCCCTGGAACACTGCTACATTTCTTATAGAGGGAACATGGCATTGTGGATGGTGTACCAGACTTGAGGTCAGGCAGATCTGGGTTCAAATCCTGCTATTAACACTTTTAGCTGTGTGAAATCTCTTCATCTCTTTCAACCGAGTTTCCTTCTCTATAAAATGAGCATAATAATAGTACTTACCATACAGGGTTGTTGTGAGGATCATATAAGTTGATGTCTTTTTTTAAAAGATTAATTTATTTTGAATTATCAACTATCACTTCCATAAGCCTTTGAGTTTTAAATTTTTTTCCCCCCTCTTCTCCCACTCCCTCCCCAAGATGGTACACAATGTACATATACATTCCTATTAAACATATTTTCACATTAGTGATGTTGTAAGTAAGAATTAGAACCAATAAGAGGAATCACCTGAAAGAGGAAACAAAACATAGCAGAAGAAAAAAAGTAGCAAATAGTATGCTTCCATCTGCATTCAAACTCCATAGTTCTTTCTTTGGAAGTGGATAGCATTTTCCATCATGAGGCCTTTGGAGATGTCTTAGATCCTTGTATTGCTGAGAAGGGTTAAGTCTATCAGCATTAGTCATCGCGCAGTGTGGCTGTTACTGTGTACAACGTTCTCCTTGTTCTGCTCACTTCACTCAGTATCAGACCATATAAGTCTTTCCAGGTTTTTCTGAAGTCAGCCTGTTCATCATTTCTTATAGCACAATAGCATTCCATTCCATTCACATACCACAACTTGCTCAGCCATTCCCCAATTGATGGGCATCCTCTCAATTTCTAATTCTTGGCCACCACAAAAAGAGCTGCTATAAATATTTTTGTACATGTGAGTCCTTTTCCCAATTTCCCAT